AATATTTTGATTCTACTTTAATATCTCGCAGCGCTATATTCGCGCAGGTTATTTGAATTTTTTACGGTTAAATTCATCCAAGTTGCGTACACCGGCAAAATACATCCTTTCCAGAATAAAAACAGAAGCATGTTGCTGTTTATGTTAAATTTGTTCTCGCTTTAATTTTGCGTTACATGATTGTTATATTAAAAATTGTCGGGTCAAAAATAAGTGAGGGTGATTTATATCACCAGCTGATTTTAAGTTACAAAAGTACTCACCCATATTACACATTTAAATTCTACAATCCCGTGTAGAAATGTCCCTAAGCTTCCCAACGTGATAATGGATTCCGACTAGAACCACGCTAGAAAAGTCGTACTCGAACCTGATTAGATTCTTGTGAAAAATTCAGACTAGAAATATCTGCTGAGATCCCGTTTGAATTCTAGAAAGGCAATTCAAACTAGAAAAATCTGATTAAGCTCTTACTAAATTCTACCCAGAAATACCTCTAATCGGACTTAGATTATTTTTCGATGTTTTCTTTATTTAAAATATGAATTTAATTATGTTCAATAAGGGACACAAATATTTTTAAAATGTTCGTTTTAGACATAATAATAAAAAGAATAAATATTAATAATAATAAATTATAATAATAAAATTATTAAATAAATTAAATTTATTATCAAATAACACCGAGTGATAGAATCAAAATAATATTATTAATAAATTACATTATTATATATAGTTTCACTTTTTATTTAATTTAAAAATAATATTTAAATTTAAATCGAAAATATCGAAATCGATGTATCGAAGTTTTCAATATATCGATGTTCCATCGTCGAGAATGATGACATGAATGGTGCAAGTGCACATGTCATTTTGTGTGAACCTGAATTTTATTGTTCTTTTGTTAATTAATAATGGAAAATAATGAGAGGAAAAAAAGCAATCGCGAATGCGTAGCAAACAATATCGTGAGGTGAAATCCGTACGCGCTGAATTAAATAGAATGCAATATGTTCAAGAGCAAGTTATGGATATTGACAATTTAGATGACTCAAATCACTCATCTTCTTTACCAGAAGGTAAATATTAACATAATATTATCAATTTAAGAATATTTAATATTAAGCCAACAAATATGAAATATGTAAAAAATATATTGATTGGTTTTCTAACCTCAAATTTTGTCTTTATGTTAATATCATTATTGAAAATTTTTAATTTTTACTATGATTATTCCAATTTCTTTAGGTAATATTATGATTTCTAACTTTTTTATTTATAATTCTGGTTAAAATTTGTGTTAGTACTGTTTGGAGGTTAGGAACACAGAAAATTAAAAGGCATTAAAATAAGCTGCAACGCTTATTATTTTAATCTAATTTTGCTTATTTTAATCCATTTTGGTATTAAAATAAGAAAAAATTGGATTAAAATAATAAGCGTTGCAGCTTATTTTAATGCCTTTTAATTTTCTGTGAAGTTCAATTAAACTACACGGCTATAATAAATAGCATAACGGGCGTTTTTAACTCTACAATTTCAAAAACACACACGGAAGAAAGGCCGTTGGATCTTTATATAAATATGTTTTTTGGATTTATTAAATATTTATTAATTTTATTATATTAATTTTTATTTAATAATAATCAATTAAAGGGATCTAATAGGGTTCTAGCGAGAACCCTTTACTTCTGGTAGGGAAATCGCAGGGATATCCCTGCTAGATCCCTATACCAACATTCCTCGCTGGCGTCGATCGTGACGAAAAATGCCGGGTCCCGCCTAGAGTTTCCCTTCCGGAACCCATCTGGCAAAAGGGACGCACAGCGAGGTCGCTATTAAAATCTAACTTAAATTTCTGCACGGGATGTTAAAACCCTACATGTAAAATTCTACACAGTTAAATTGTACATCGTTAAACTCTACATAAAATTATTTTGTAACGAAAAATTAGTTAAACTTTTTATACATTTATTAAAATAATAAGAAAATTAATTTTGTTAAATTCTACAAATTTAAATTTAACACCATTAAATTCTACACAAATTTATTTCAAAAAATTATTATCATAAAACTCTACACAGTCATGAAAGTCTACAATCTAAAGTTTTTCACATTTTATTATATTTGTTAAATTTTGCATTGTTAAACTCTACACACGCTTATATATAAGGAAAAAATAAATTTTGAGTCGATTTCACTTTCCCATATTTAGACTGTACATTTATTAATTCTACACCAGTTAAATTATACATTTTAATACTTTACATTAGAAATATTAATTTTAAACTCTATATTTTGAAATTGAACACTTAAATTTTTCTTATAAAATTAATTCTACTTTATTAGATTGTCATTCACTTAATTGTACACAAACTAAAATGCATACAAAAAATTTAACAGTATTTTTCGTTTGTCAGTTTTTAATTTAATTTCTTTTAATTACCTTAATCTGTGTAGAATTGAATGTAATTATATGTAATTTGTAAATTTCTTAATAAAATTATTGTACGAAATTTAGTTTGTGTAGAAGTAAACAGTGTACAATTGAATAAAAATGGAATTTAAAATTTTTATATTAAATTTTATTTCGTGTAGAGTTTGATAGTACTTAATGTAGCGGTGTAGAATGTGCAATTTTTTTATTTTTTTTTTTTACTGATTTTCGTTACTGTAGAATCGAAACGTGTACAATGTAAAAATATAAAATTTATAAAAATGTGTAGAATTTGTTCGTGTAGAGTTTAAAGATATTATTTTTTAATTTTATCATCTGTAGAGTTTGACTATAACCAATTTAATGATGTAGAATTTAACAATTTTTTATTTAATTTTTTGTATGCATTTTAGTTTGTGTACAATTAAGTCAATGACAATCTAATAAAGTAATATTAATTTGATAAGAAAAATTTAAGTGTTCAATTTCAAAATGTAGAGTTTAAAATTAATATTCCTAATTTACAATATTAAAATGTAAAATTTAACTGATAGAATTAAAAAATGTACAGTGTGTAAATATGGGAAAATGCAATCGCCCGCAAAATTTATTTTTTCATTATATAAGCGTGTGTAGAGTTTAACAATGTAAAATTTAATAAAGATAATAAAATCTGAAGAATTTCAAATTGTAGAATATTTATCTTTGTAGATTTTTATAATAATAAATAGCGCGGTTCAACTACTACAAAATTAAACTTTACACCATTTAAACTGTACAATTTTAAATTCTGTATTGGTTAGATTGTCTAGAATTTATTTTTTAAAGTCTAAAAAATTAAATTCTGCACCGTTAAACTTTATACGCTTTTATTTAATAAAAACAAATTATTATTTTTAAACCCTAAAAGATAATTTTTAATGAATTTTAATGAAATAAAATAAATTTTAAATTACCTTGCCTAAATAACGAATATCTTAAGAAAACAAATAAATTAACATTTTTTTAAACTAAAAATTTGTATTAAAATAAAATTCCTTCATTTTTTTCGACACAAATGACAATATCATAGTCACATGCAGAAAAAATGCAGTGACAATTTTGCCAATAGACAGGAAAATAGTCAAAGGCGCTACCCCAATCGACCGTGTCCAATTGAAGAAATACCAATGATAATTTAACCTTCCGCTTTCTCAGAAATTCCAGTAAACCACCAAAGATTTTCTCTTTAAGATGCATACGCATGAGGAAGATCTCGCGATCTCGTTGAAGATCCGTCGTGCGATCGCGATGGGTACCCGTCAAAGTACATCGTATATTCTTTAAGGAATGAGATCTCGGCCTCTTCTAAAGCAGTGTTGCTTGTAGTGATCTTGCGAGAAGGAAATAAAAGAAGAGAGAATGATCAAGGGAGAGAGAGACGGAAAAGAGCTAGGACTCGCGAAGACTCGAATGTATGAAGCCATAAATTTTCGCGCGACAAATCGTCGGCTCGCTCGTTCGTTCTCAGGCTAATTGTTGGGACGCACTCAAATGTCCAGGGATCTTCTCTCTTTTACTCCTCCCTTTGGATCGATAAAAGCTAAACGTCTCTAATCGATTAATCGATTATTTACTCGATAGTTACTCGTTTGCGCGATTAATGTCTCCCTTGAGACGCAATCTTGATTCCGATGAAAATTTATGTTCAACTTCCCGTTTAATATATAAAAGAAACATAATTTGCATTTTCTTTCCTTAATATTAAATTTACGATTTGTTGGAGGTGGAGTTGACCCCTTAGATGTCAAAATTAACCGGCAGAAATTTATTTCCAGTAAAAATAATAATCATAAATTGTGCGCAAATATTTGTCCGCTTCTAAGTTTTTGCAAAAGAAAAAAAAAAAAAAAAAAAAAAACTTGGAGGGAACAAAATTTATGTGTGAGACTGGAAATTTCTTGATAAATTGATCAGGTTTTACAACGTTAAGGAAATATTTCTAAGGCTAAGGGTCAATAGGACTAGTTTTTCCGATAAAAACAATTTTCTTCTTCAAATTTTTGCAAAACGGAAATACTAAATATTTTTAATGCTTCATCATTTATATTATTCTTCACTTGTTCTAATTTCATAATTTGATAACATTTTCTCCCTTAAAGTGAATTTCAAATTTACAAAATAAAATTTATCTTGGAAACCATTAGTAAATTTTGATTTCCATTAATATAAAAATGTAATTAATGATTTAATATAGTTATTATTTAATTATTTAATTTTCAAATAAGAATAAAAACAATTTTCTTAAATTAAATTAAGAAAGTTACGAAAATGTTGATTATTGTGTATACTGAAATAACTTCTTTACTTTAATTAAACAAAAAAAAAATTCAAAAGCTTCTTTATGAAAATTAAATTGAATGCCAGGTAACTGACACAACAACGAAATGAAATTTTTTATTATTCTTCAAAATAAAGAATACATACATTATTGCAAAATACATACTTTATATATATATACATTAAATATTATTAGAAAATAATTTAAAAATTAATCCATGACAAAACTTACTATCCTCTAAAATCTAAATTTACCACATGTATAAGAAAACTTTTACAATTGTTTTGAATTCTTAATTTTTTTAAACCATTTTACACATATGGGACATACATACTATTTTTTAAATATTATTTATTTTTAAAAATAGTTTGAAATCCTTTAAAATTTATTATACAAGAGTGTTTGGGATCGCTGATTATGAATTCGATATCAGTTTTTCAAAATTCAAAATGGCAGGTCAAATATGGCGAGAGAATGAAATTTAAAGCCGATTGGTTATAGTTGACAAATTTTTTTAATTCATACGATTTGCTTGAACCTCGTTATTTTATGGGATTCGAAGTTACTAATTACAAATTTAAAATCAGCATTGTAATCTACGACTCCAAGAACCCTAGAGAAACGAGTTTCAAGCAAATCAAAACGATTTTTAAAATTTTGGCCTCAATATTACATACGCTATTTTGCAATTAGAAACACAAAACTCAAACTTATAATCAGAGACCATCAAAACGAAAATAACAACTTCAGCTCTCATTCACTGAATATTCAGTTAATTCTAGGTGGGAAAGAGTTAAATAAATTACAATAGAATTAAAATTTTCTAGATATTAACTACTTTATAAACTTATTGATGTTTTATGGACGTAATTTCTGTAATTTCTCTCATAATATTTTTGTACCCTCGAAATTTCTCATCACTTTTGTGATTATACATAAGTGTAACCCATAAAAAATTACCCAAATTACGAAACTGTGTTTCACTGACATTAACAATCGAAAACATAGTTCCCGGTAAAAGAATTGCAATCTCTTCCTCAAAATGATAGAACAGTTTTATTTTTGCTCTAAAGTAAGGTTTAGTAAATTTCATTTCGTACAAAACATTTTTATATCCAGAAATTGCAACCGCAGCGGAATTAAGAGCTGCAGACTCCTTTAAATAATTTATTGTAAATTTTTGCAAAGTAAATATTTGTCTAGAGGATAGTGTTCTGTTGATGATTTCCACTGGTTTTGATTCAATTCTAAATAATGTTTTTTCAAATTCATCATCTGGATCGTCAGATTGTCTTATTGCTAATTTATATAAAGCCAATTTCATAAAATTTGCCTCCCTCGTATCTCCTGTTATTCTTGTATATCCAGATTGTGCAAAATTTCGAATTGCATAATAATCTTCAAATGTGGTAACATATCGTGCATTTTGAGAATTGTAGTGTTCAATTATACTTTTTAGATTTGTTCCATTTTCAATTTTGTATTTTTCTCGGAATGTGTAAATTGATTCAATTTTAAGAATACCATCAGTGAGTGACAAATTAGCATTCTCGAGGTGTAAATCGAATCTTAATTTCGAGAGAAGAGCATGGTTTTCTATTATATAGTGTTCTGACCATTCAGGTATTTTTAAGTCAGTAGTATTTGTATAATCTTTCACGAATTTTAAATCAAGCCTTCCTTCATCCGGAAATGTATATTTTTCCATTGTTTTCAAAATCTCATTTCTTGTGAGATTCATTTGTTTTTTTAATACTAATTCCACATCTTCATCAAGATTCCACCTTTTTTCCATGCGACGGGCATGTCTTGGACAATCAACTAAAGGTAGTGACCATTGCATGTATATACCAATGTCACATTTTTCAATATTGAAAGAATGAGTAGATATTCTTAAAAATAAATTATTCTCACCGCTCCTTTCTAATTGATTAGTAATTTCAAATAAACATTTTTCTTCTGCATATACAAAACTATTATCCAAAATCTGATAATATATTTCATCATCATTTGGTTTATTTTCATCATTCAATAGAAGAAAGATTCTTTTGTTTTCAACATAACTAGTTCTGAATTGTACAAATCTATTAGGAGCTATATAAAAATATTTGTAACCATAACCGTAATTACCCCTTGCATTGTATCGACGCTTTATGTAAAAAGAACAATTTGTATTATTATCTTTCAGTTTTAATAGTTGTAAAGGATTAAAAATTAAAAAATGTATATCCCGTAGCATATTTTTAAGAGATGTAAATGTATGATTGACTTTGGTTTGTAACAAAGAAATTACTGTTCCTAAAAAGTCAAGATAATTTGTAGTAATTGAAATAAGTTGAAATCCAGGTTCTTCTATGTGTAATGACATTTTATTAAATACCTCACTAATAGATGTTTCTTCATAGAATGGTAATACACTTTTGATATTCATTTTAACTATTTTATTAATTATTTTATGGTTTGAATTTCTTATCATCATTGTCTTTAAAGAAGTACCTAATGAAGTTAGTAAGGTTTGTGTACTTTGTTGGATCAATAATGAAGATACATCTTCATTGAATTGATGAAAAAATTCCAAATCATCAATTTCGCAAAGATTATACTCACCAAATTTTTTCTCTTGTGATTTTGTTACGCATGGATAGAACGGTACTAATGGTAAACCAAATTCCTTCCACCATTCACCCAATACGAAACGTGAGTCGGAAAATTTTAAATATGATTCTAATCGTTGTTCTTTATAAGATAAAAATTTATTCCAAAATACATCCATAGATTGGTCAACTGTTTTTAAATTTAATCGATGATACCTAAGACTTAGCAACAATTGAACACTCATACCAGTTTTGTTTTGAAAATCTTCAGGATTATCAGCCTCTTTGATTAATGTCGTCGTGTAATTTTCTCGTATTAATGCATAAAAGTCTGCATTATTGTTTTCTGGATAATAAAACACAAATAAATCAAATGGTATTCGCGCATGATTATTAAATACACCTAATTTTACTTTATCATCCGGAACAAGTAATTGTATAATTACTTTATCATATTTGAGAGATCTTAATAAAGAAATTCCGAATGACTGTTTCACTGATTTCAAATCATGTATTTTATATGCTTCAATAATTTTATTCACTTGGTACATGAATGCTTCATTTAAATTTGGTAATATATGATCAGAATTACATTGAAAACCTTCGGGATTATAAAAATAGTCAGCGATTTTGGATTGTACTTCTTCTTTGTTAAGATATTGGCAATGATTTTCTATTAATAGTTTAGCTATTGCCGACCTATTGTAAAATGTTGAGAACGCAACATGTATTTGATATATAGTGTCAGCGTTAAGTTTATCATTTATTCTGCCAAAAGTTTCATGTAAATAAAAAAAAAGATTTTCATATGCTGCTGTCCAGAAATGTGGGTCAAAAACTGTATTTTTTATTCCATCGTTTTGTTCAGATTCTTTAGTGACATGGACAAATAAGGCTGGAAGAGCAAAAGCTTTAAATGATGCTAAAGTTATATTTTCATGATTATGTAAATTTTCCAACATAAGTCCCATAGTCAAGTATTCGTCAAATAAATTTTCTTGATCCAATATATTAGATTGAAAGTTTTTTAAATCTGAGTAATATATTTTATTTACTCTACCAGGTTGAAGAAAATGTAATCCTGCTTGTGCATAAATATAATCAGGAGACAATAAATTAAGGTCAGTTTTTGGTCTTGGAAATAGAGGCAATATTATATCTGTTAATATTCTATTCACTGATAAAGAAGAAAGAGTTGATGGTCCACCGTACTCGTTTTGAAATATTGCTTTCTCAAGATTTACCTTTATTTCACTGTATATTAAACTCAATTCTAACGTTTTTGCTTTTCGTACAACATCAGCTAGAAAACCATAAATATTTCCATATTTGTCAAAAACAAGGGACTTAATAATGTAGTCAAACATTGTGTTCACAAAAATTAGGTCAGAAGTTTCATTCTCCTCTTCTCCGTATAAGTCGCTGCCTTTTAACAAATATCTTATTAATTTAAGAATCATTGTTTCATTATCATGATGGTCTTCTAAATATTCATAGAGTGCATTAACAACTGGTATTTGTTTGTTTTGATTAATTTCCATCAGATATTTTTCAACAAACAAGAAATCACTGAGTAGATTTAAGTAAATAAAGATCGGTATATACTGTACTGTTCCTAGAGGATTTGTGTAGAGTGTGTTGTTCATTCTTAAAAATTTGGTTCCTTTTTGCAATCAATAGTGGAAGATTTTTGATATTATGGACATGTATCCAGAACACGTGTATCGATTCTGCTAAAAAAGTAAATATGTTTTATATTTACATATTTTGTAATATTTATAAAATTGTCAGCAGTTTATTAAATATGATAGATTAGATTATATTAGTCAGCAGGTTTCTCATACATTCGATTTGTAAGAGTACATAATTATTTTTTACAAAATATTAAAATTTCTAAACATATCACAAATAATCATAATATGTGATATTCAAATCAAGTGATTAATTAATTAATTAATCACACATAATTATTTACATAAGAACATTCTTCAAAATTTTATTTTAAAAAATATAAAAATCAGTATGAGCTATACTTTTTGTAAAGAAATGCCACACAAATTAAATTAAAAATAAAATAACAATAAATTTATGCACCTCTATTATTTGTCTTTTCGATTATTTGTCAAAATGAAAAAATTTTTTACGAAAAATTACCATCTAATAGGAATAAATGACCCAAGTTTAAGCACTATTGGTCAAAAATGCATTTGACTTAAAAAAAGTAAATTAGAAATATGTTTAAAAACTTTCATTAAATTTAAAAATAAAATGTTTGGTTTATACTTACAAGCAAATATCATTAAAGAAAAGTCGAATATATGCAGCTATTTGGGACAGTTTGGAAATTGTGTGACTTTGAAGAACAGAATGGAAAATATATATCAATTAAAAATTTCTTATATAACTCAAAGTTACATTTGAATGTATAAATTGTTCGATTTCTAAAATTTATTTTGCTTTATATCATATCTTTTATTAACACAATTGTGAATGTCGAGGACATGAGTCTATTACATAATGTTGGATTACTTTTTTTTAATTCTTTTTTTTTAGTTTATGAGAAATAGAACAGAAATGATCAAGAGGATCACAGGGGGCATAAAATGAGAGTAAGATAAATTATTTATTTTTTCCATTGATTTGTAAAATAGAATTTTGTAGGATCCGTATAAAAATCATAAAGTTTACTATAAAAATGCAACATATTGTATCTATCTTGATTTATTAAGTACCGAAAACAAATATAATTACAAATAATAATAAATCCATTGTGGAGTAGAGTGGTGTGAAAATGGCATTTAGGTTTTATATTGAAAATATTGAATTGTTTTATCAGCCATTTAGAATATAAGCTAAATTAGGTAATACGCAACTTCTGAATCTAGTTTGTATAAACAGATGTAAAAAATTAAATTTTATATTTTGTAGAATCAAAATTATACTGCTCGAAACCAATGGAAACATACACTGAAAGAAATTTCATAGGAAAAAATAACAAAATGCGTATTACATTTTAATATATTCTTTTAGAATTTAGGGAAAAGTGTACTTTTTATTAAAATTCAATATACTTTATATTAAAGTTCCAACTTAAAATCTTTTTTCAAATATTAATAATTATTGTAGAAAGAACGTAAAAAGATTACCAATATTTGAAAATATTATATTAAATTCTCATAGAGTTGTTGCATTATATGGAATGTAGCGTTCTAATATTTGTAAAACTTTATACGAAAAATTCAGAATGTCGGAAGAAAAGGGAAAAAAAGTGGAAACTCGGACGTTTCCGTTAATTCTCGGGAGGAAGAGGAGTGAGACTAGGAACAACACATTCACACTTACGATACAGGTTAATACACATACTAATGAACACGCACGTTCATTTCGCTTATACATAGACATTACACGATCGCAACGAAACCTACACTTACAATTCTACACGCATAACGATAAATTTCGCTGGGGGTCGGCATATATCGTTTTCTTATATACTAACTACTGAATATTTTTACCACTTGCGAGAAAGAAGTTTACTTATAATAACTTAATAATAAAAAATAGTTTACTAGTGCCAATGGTGTAATTTTATAGAGGTTACGCTGGGTTCACTTTTATTATTAATTGTTTATATAGATTTTTCTTTTTTTTCAGATTAAAAATTATGATTGTTATAAAAATTTTTATTGCAAATAAAAATTAAATAATTGTAAAGATGACATCAAAAAATAAAAATTCATAAAAATAATAATAAATTTAATAATTAATAATAAATTTATTATTATTAAATAACTTTAATAAAACATTTTTTATAAATTGAAAATAAATTAGGTACGTTCTGCTGGTTAACAATACTTTCGAAAATCGGATCAAGTCGTAGAAGTTCGAGTAGGACACGAAGCCGCAAACAGACAGAACTTCGGTTAAATTCGTAGTCTCTCGGGAAAATCCGTGACTTTTAATATAAAGTTTTACAAAATGTGAAATAAGTATACGGATATATGTTATTTTTCTTACTATTTTGTGAAATTATTTATTATAATATTTCGTATTCTGTGAATTCATAAAGAAAATACTAATTTTTAAAATAAATATACTAATTCTTATTTCTTAAAATAATAGTTACTCTTAAATTCATTATATATTTTCATAAAAACTGTAATAGTAATCAGTATAGGTGCACTTTTTCCCTAAATTGTAACATTTATATTAAACTCTAATATGAGTTTAATACTTAGTAGTATGAATTTTCTTTCAGTGTAGGCACAATATTACAAAATATATTTTAAATAATAATAGTATAAACTTGTCAAAATAACAATCGAAGACAATTATTTATAATAAAAAATGAGAACAATAAATTACATAACTCAAAAAAAAATTTTTTTTCTTCTAACCTGAGAGTCAGATACAATTAATCTTCAACCTTAGTCAAAACTTACAGTTTAACAGCATTTTGTAATTTCTGTAATTTCTCTCATAATATTTTTGTACCATTGATATTTCACATCATTTTTGTGATTATACATAAGTTCCACTCTTAAACAATCACCCAAGTTAAGAAATTGTGTTTCACTGACATTAACAATAGAAAACGTAGTTCCCGGTAAGAGAATTGCAATCTCTTCCTCATAATGGAAGAAATGTTTTATTTTTGCTCTAAAATAAGGTTTAGTCAATTTCAACACGTACAAGATATTTTTATATCCAGAGATTGCAACCGAAGCGGAATTAATAGCTAAAGACTCTTTTAAATAATTTGTTGTAAATTTTTGCAAAATAAATATTTGTCTAGAAGATATTGTTTTGTTGATAATTTCTATTGGTTTCGATTCAATTCTAAATAATGTTTTTTCAAATTCATCATCTGGATCGTCAGATTGTCTTATTGCTAATTTATATAAAGCCAATTTCATAAAATTTGCCTCCCTCGTATCTCCTGTTATTCTTGTATATCCAGATTGTGCAAAATTTCGAATTGCATAATAATCTTCAAATGTGGTAAGATATCGTGCATTTTGAGAATTGTAGTGTTCAATTATACTTTTTAGATTTGTTCCATCTTCAATTTTTTGTTTTTCCCGAAATGTGTAAATTGATTCAATTTTAAGACTACCATCAGTAAGTGACAAATTAGCATTCTCGAGGTGTAAATCGAATCTTAATTTCGAGAGAAGAGCATGGTTTTCTATTATATAGTGTTCTGCCCATTCAGGTATTTTTAAGTCTGCAGTATTTGTCCAATCTTCCATAAATCTTAAATCAAGCCTTCCTTCATCCGGAAATGTATATTTTTCCATTGTTTTTAATATCTCATTTCTTGTAAGATTCATTTGTTTTTTTAATACTAATTCGACAACTTCATTAAGATTCCGACTTTTTTCCATACGACGGGCATGTCTTGGACAATCAGTTAAAGGTAGTGACCATTGCATGTATATACCAATGTCACATTTTTCAATATTGAAAGAATTAATAGATATTCCTAAAAACGAAAATTTTTCATCGCTTCTTTGTAATTTGTTCGTAATTCCAAACATACAATTTCCCTTAATATGAACAAAACTTTGATCTATAATTACGTCATTTACTTTTTCAACATTTAGTTTAGTGTCATTTACAAGAAGAAGAAATTTTTCGTTTATATTATAATTAGTTCTTAATTGGACAAATATTTTCGAACCTAGATAACCATATTTGTAACCATAACCGTAACTATCTTTAGAATTGTCTTTACACATTATGTAAAAAGAACAAGGTGTGTTTTTAACTTCCAATGTTACCACTTTTAACACATTGTCAATTAAAAAATGAATATTTCCAACAATATTATTAAGAGATGTAAACCTCTGATTAAAATTGTTTTCTATCACAAAAATAGTTGATTTTAAAAAATTTAGATACTTCAAAGTTAGAGACGTAAGTCGAAATCCAGGTTCTTCAATATGTAATGACAATTTTTGTGATAATTCAATCATAGGTATTTCTTCTTTGGATGATAATATATCCTTCCAATTAGCTTTAATTAAGAAATATATTATTTCGTTCTTTGAATTCTTTAAAACTACAGTCTTCAAAGAAGTACCTAGTGAAGTGAGTAAGGTTTGTGTACTTTGTTGAATCAATAATGAAGATATATCTGTATTAAATTTGTGAAAAAATACCAAATCATCAATCTTGCAAGAATCAGTATCACCAATTTTTTTCTCTGCAGATTTTGTTACGCATGGATAGAACGGTACTAATGGTAAACCAAATTCCTTCCACCATTCACCCAATACAAAACGTGAGTCGGAAAATTTTAAATATGATTCTAATCGTTGTTCTTTATAAGATAAAAATTTATTCCAAAATACATCCATAGATTGGTCAACTGTTTTTAAATTTAATCGATGATACCTAAGACTTAGCAACAATTGAACACTCATACCAGTTTTGTTTTTAAAATCTTCAGGATTATCAGCCTCTTTGATTAATGTCGTCATGTAATTTTCTCGTATTAATGCATAAAATTCTGCATTATTGTTTTCTGGATAATAAAACACAAATAAATCAAATGGTATTCGCGCATCATTATTAAATACACCTAATTTTACTTTATCATCCGGAACAAGTAATTGTATCATTACTTTATCATATTTGAGAGATCTTAATAAAGTAATTCCAAATGATTGTTTCACTGATTTCAAATCATGCATTTTATACGCTTCAATAATTTCATTCACTTGGTACATGAATGCTTCAGTTAGATTTGGTAATATATAATCAGAATTACATTGAAAACCTTCGGGATTATAAAAATAGTCAGCAATTTTGGATTGTACTTCTTCTTTGTTAAGATATTGGCAATGACTTTCTATTAATAGTTTAGCTATTGCCGACCTATTGTAAAATGTTGAGAACGCTACATGTATTTGATATATAGTGTCAGTGTTAAGTTTATCATTTATTCTGCCAAAAGTTTTATGTAAATAAAAAAAAAGATTATCATATGCTGCTGTCCAGAAATGTGGGTCAAAAACTGTATTTTTTATTTCATCGTTTTGATCAGATTCTTTAGTGACATGGACAAATAACGCTGGAAGAGCAAAAGCTTGCAATGTTTCTAAAGTTTTTATTTCAATGGCAAGGTAATTTTCTAGTATAAGTCCTGTGGCTAAATATTCATCAAATAAGTTGTCTTGATCTAAAATAGTAGTATTAAAGTTCTCTGAACCTGTGTAATAGATACTATTTATTCTACCAGGTTGAAGAAAATGTAATCCTGCTTGTGCATAAATATAATCAAGAGACAATAAATTAAGGTCAGTTTTTGGTCTTGGAAATAGAGGCAATATTATATCTGTTAATATTCTATTCACTGATAAAGAACTAAGAGTCGATGGTTCGCCATACTCATTTTGAAATATTGCTTTCTCAAGATTTACCTTTATTTCACTGTATATTAAACTTAATTCTAACGTTTTTGCTTTCTGTACAACATCAGCTAGAAAACCATAAATATTTCCATATTTGTCAAAAACAAGAGACTTAATAATGTAATCAAACATTGTGTTCACAAAAATTATGTCAGGATTTTCATTCTCCTCTTCTCCGTATAAATCGCTACCTTTTAACAAATGTCTTATTAATTTAAGTATTTTTGTTTGATCATCATGATGGACTTGGAAATATTCATAGAGTGCATTAACAACTGGTATTTGTTTATTTTGATCAACTTCTGATAGACAATTTTCGATAAATAAGTAATCACTTAGTGCATTAAAGTAACTGAAGATGGATATAAGTTGCACTGATTCTAAAGGATTTGTCTTGAGCATGTTATCTATTGTTAATAATGTTATTTTGATAATTAAAATTTTGTAAAGTATTTACATATGATTTTAAATAGTAGTTTTTTTTATATCACTTGATTGCAACAATCCCCTTTCTTCGTGTACAAAAAATCTGTGAAAAAAATTTGTTTTTGTTAGGGTGTGTAGTTTACACAGTTTTTCGTTGCTACAAAGGGCTCAAAAACAGAAAGTTACAATTTCTATTAGGTTTTTTAAGAAAAAAACGATTAAAATTTAAATTAATATTTTATTGAGTTTTGTTTAATTCACCCGAATATTATACACGAAAAATTTTTGGGTGATCTGGTTTACTAGCTATAGTAACGCTGCGCTGCACTAACTACAGTCACCCTGCAGAACCAATTTTGATAGGGCTTCTTTCCCGTTGTGGGTGAGCAGCCCTACCGCTGGATACGGCAGCTCGCCCAAGAATTTTTTCGTGTTCAGTTATGAAAAATCTTATTATTTAATATTTGGATTGTTAAAAATCCATTATTTTATTGCGAACATTTACTTATTGCTAAAAGTAAAATTTTTTACCTGGATATTTATATGTAGACATTCAACTGCCGTATACTGATTATAGTTACATTCTAAATTAGAGTATTCGTGTTTTACAATGTACTTTTTATTTACATTGTTGTCTTATAACTTGGTATTGACACAATTGTGTATACCAAAGGCGTGTAATTATCAGTACACGTGTCCCATATGTGAATAACTCTAAAATATAGCATAATAATAGTAATACTCTTATGAAAAATAATTACTGGCATAATTGTTGGGATAACTACTAAAATAATTACTGGAATAAATACTAGATTAATTACTGGAATACTTCCTGGAAACTCCAGTAATTTTTTTGCTATACATATTCTTAAAAATTTACTTGTTGTATAATACCTTTCCATATCTCCTACTTTTCTACAATAGTTTTTTGTTGTAAATTCAATTTATTTGAATATATTTACCACAAAATTACAATTCCATTGAAATTTAAATAAAAATTTTTTGTATTACTAAAAAACACTCCTCGTGAAAAAATTAGTAGAGTTTCAGGTAATTAATCCAATAGTAATAATATTATATATATTGTATAATTTTGTCCTTAATAATAAATAGCAAACAAAATAATTAATAATATTCTCAAAACTAACGATCAACAAACTTTATTTGTTTTCTATATACAATAAAAAAATGAGAAACAAATATAAACATAATATAACCATTTAATAATTTATTGTTTTATTTATAAACTTAAACATGCTAAAAAATTAAAAATCTATAGAACTTTTCGTCATTAGTTGTGTGATTTTCTTCATAATATTTTGATATCCTTGGTATTTCTCATTACTCGCATGATCATACATAAGTTCTACCCTTAAACAATCACCTAAATGAAGGAGTCGTGTTTCACTTACATTTAAAACCGAAAACTCAATTCCTGGTAAAAGAATTGCTATCTCTTTCTCATAATGGAAGAATTGTTTTATTTTTCCTCTAAAATAAGGTTTAGTCAATTTCATCACGTACAAGATATTTTTATATCCAGGTAATGGAAAAACAGCGGAATTAATAGCAGATGACTTCTTTAAATAAGTAGTAGAAAATTTAGGGAAAATTAATATTTGTTTAGAAGATATTGTTTTGTTGATGATTTCTATTGGTTTTGATTCAATTCTAAATAAAGTTTTTTCAAACTCATCATCTGGATCGTCAGATTGTCTAATTGCTAATTTATATAAAGCCAATTTCATAAAATTTGCCTCCCTCGTATCTCCTGTTATTCTTGTATATCCAGATTGTGCAAAATTTCGAATTGCATAATAATCTTCAAATGTGGTAACATATCGTGCATTTTGAGAATTGTAGTGTTCAATTATACTTTTTAGATTTGTTCCATCTTCAATTTTTTGTTTTTCCCGAAATGTGTAAATTGATTCAATTTTAAGAATACCATCAGTGAGTGACAAATTAGCATTCTCGAGGTGTAAATCGAATCTTAATTTCGAGAGAAGAGCATGGTTTTCTATTATATAGTGTTCTGACCATTCAGGTATTTTTAAGTCAGTAGTATTTGTATAATCTTTCACGAATTTTAAATCAAGCCTTCCTTCATCCGGAAATGTATATTTTTCCATTGTTTTCAATATCTCATTTTTTGTAAGATTCATTTGTTTTTTTAATACGAATTCTACATCTTCATCAAGATTCCACCTTTTTTCCATGCGACGGGCATGTCTTGGACAATTAACTAAAGGTAGTGACCATTGCATGTATATACCAATGTCACATTTTTCAATATTGAAAGAATTAATAGATATTCCTAAAAAGGAAAATTTTTCATCGCTTCTTTGTAATTGGTTAGTAATTTCATACGTACAGTTTCTATTTTTATAAACAAAAGTATTATCTATAGTTATGTTGCCTGCATTCTCGACATTAATCTTAGTATCATTTACTATAAGAAACAATTTTTTATTTACAGTATAGTCAGTTCTTAACTCTACAAATCTTTTAGGGCTTAAATAGAAGTATTTGTAACCATAACTATCTTTAGCATTTATTCGACATTTTAAGTAGAATGAACAAGTTGTATTGTTATATTCTAATTTTAGTAGTCTTAAATCGTTAAAATGTAATGAATATATGTTTTGCACGATATTATTAGCAGATTTGAACCTATTACTAACTCTGTCTTGTAAGATATTAAATTTTACTTTCAAAAACTCTAAGTTAGTTGTAGTCATAGTAGTAAGCTGAAATCCAGGTTCTTCTATATGCAATGACAATTCTTTAAATACTTTCCTCGTAGATGATACTGCATAGAGTGGTAATTTATTTTTGTTAATCATATTGACTGAGGAATATATCATTTTATCGTTTGTATTCTTTAAAAGTATGGTCTTTAAAGAAGCACCTAATGATGCGAGTAATATGCGTGTATTATGTTGCGTCAATAATGAAGATATATCTGTATGAATTTGACTAAAAACTACGAAATCATCGATTTCGCAAAGATTTTTTTCATCATTTTTTTTCTGTGTTAATTTTGTAACGCATGGATAAAATGGTACCAACGATAATCCAAATTCCTTCCACCAATCACCTAATGTCAAATGGCTGTTACAAAATTTTAGATATGATTCTAATCTTTGTCCTTTATAAGCCATATATTCATTCCAAAATACATCCATAGATTGGTCAACATTTTTCAAATTTAATCGATGATACCTAAGACTTAGTAATAATTGAACACTCATACCAGTTTTGTTTTGAAAATCTTCAGGATTATCAGCCTGTTTGATTAATGTCGTCGTGTAATTTTCTCGTATTAATGCATAAAAATATGCATTGTTATTTTCTGGATAATAAAACACAAATACATCAAATGGTATTCGCGCATGATTATTAAATATACCTAATTTTACTTTATCATCCGGAACAAGTAATTGTATAATTACTTTATCATATTTGAGAGATCTTAATAAAGAAATTCCGAATGACTGTTTCACTGATTTCAAATCATGAATTTTATATGCTTCAATAACTTCATTAACATGGTACATGAATGTTACAGTCAGATTTGGCATTATATAACTAGAATTACATTCAAAGTTTGCTGGATGATCTATATAGTCAGCAATTTTTGACGCTATATCTTCTTGGTTAAAGTGTTTGCAATGACGATCAAAAAACATTTCAGCTATTGCTGAAGGATTGTGATATCTTGAAAATGCTGCATGTATTTGATAAATTGTATCATTTCTTAATTTTTTATTTATTCTGTCAATAGTTGCATGCAAATATGAAAATAGATTTATATAAACTGCTTTCCAGTAAAGTGGATCAAAAACTTTAGATGTTATTTTTTCGTCTTGATCAGATTCTTTTGAGGCATGGAGAAATAGGGCTGGTAGAGAAAAAGCATACAATGATGCTAAAGTGATATTTTCGTTGTCAACAAAAGTTTCTAGTGTAATTCCTGTGGCTAAATATTCGTCAAATAAGTTTTCTTGATCCAATATAGTAGTATTAATGTTCTCTGAACCTGTATAATAGATACTATTTATTCTACCAGGTTGAAGAAAATGTAATCCTGCTTGTGCATAAATATAGTCAAGAGACAATAAATTAAGGTCAGTTTTTGGTTCAGGAAATAGAGGCAATATTATATCTGTAAGTATTCTATTCACTGCTAAAGAAGTAAGAGTCGATGGTTCGCCATACTCATTTTGAAATATTGCTTTCTCAAGATTTACCTTTATTTCACTGTATATTAAACTTAATTCTAACGTTTTTGCTTTTTGTACAACATCAGCTAGAAAACCATAAATATTTCCATATTTGTCAAAAACAAGGGACTTAATAATGTAATCAAACATTGTGTTCACAAAAATTATGTCAGGATTTTCATTCTCCTCTTCTCCGTATAAATCGCTACCTTTTAACAAATATCTTATTAATTCAAGTATCTTTGTTTGATTATCATGATGGACTTGGAAATATTCATAGAGTGCATTAACAACTGGTATTTGTTTATTTTGATCAACTTCTGATAGACAATTTTCAATGAATAAATAATCACTTAGTGCATTGAAGTAACTAAAGATGGATATAAATTGAACTGCCTCTAAAGGATTTGTCATTTTGATGAATAAAACTTTTTAAAAGTTTGATATATTTTTTTAATACTTTTTTTTTATATCGATTTGTAAACTTTAACGTGTCAAGTCTGAAAAAATAAAACTTTTTTTGTTATTTACAAATGTCAATTTGCTTTAATTATAGTTTAATAAATAGAAAACTGAAATGTTAATAAAATTAAGTGAATTCCGTGTGGGCAGAAAACCATGTTCGCTCTAAAAATGTTTTAAAGACGTTCTTAGAATGTTTCATGTCCGCCAAATAATGTTCTAGAATATTTTAAGAACATGGAAGTTCAAATAATGTTCCAGAACATTATTTGCTAGACATGAAACGTTCTAAAAACGTTTTTAGAACGAAGATGGTTTTTTGCCCACAGGGTTAACTTTAAAATACTGACCTAAAGTTTAGAACTTTCTTTTTTGTACTTCATCTAATAAATCCATGAAGGTCAACTTAAGGTCCTGACTGCGAAATAGAATAATTTTTAAATTCAAATGTAATAGGAAAATTGCTTGTGGGCCCAAAAAAAGTTTCCAAAAAAATGTCATATCATCGTATCGAGGGGGAATTTACTCAGGTAGTCAAGTGTACACTTATAAATTTAGTAAGACGTACACTATTAAACATTTGTATTCATTAAAAATCTAAAGTTTTATTCTAAGAAATTATTTTTATAAAAAATAAAAATTTTCACCTGAATTTTTATATTCAACTTCTTTCTACAGATTGTAGTTTCTTCTAAATATATAAATTTTTCAAATTTCATAATGTACATATTCTTTAGACAATTTATTTGCTTTATAACTTGAATTGACACAATTGAGAATGATAAGAATATGTAAATATAAGTACACGTGGCCCATGTCTTATTTTCTGAAGGTATTAATATTAAATATATTAATAATAATTAGAAAAATGTTCGCCTGTAAAGAAATATTGTAGGAAATATTGCGTAAATATTATGCTAAAATTTTCTCGATATTTAAATTAAATAATTAGAGCTTAATGTTACATTTAAAAATTTGAAAAATTAATTAAAAATTGTTTTAAAAACTTTTATTAAATTTATTTATAAATTTATAAAATTTATTATTTTTACTTCAACTTTTAGATTGTAATTGTGGAATTTCAGATTGCTACCTAACATTTTTTGGTTATTTCTTTTTTTAGAATGCCGTTCGCAATAAGTAGGAATATTTATTTAGGTAAACAGAATCAAAAAACTAAAATTTTATACAAATTTTATCATGTAACTTAGCCAACGACAGTTATCCATATTTTATTAATAAAAGCAAAGGCAACTTAGACTATTTTTGAAAATATGTATATTTAATTACAGTAAAACAAAACATTTAAAACAAAAAAAAATACTTTCATTTAATAATTTACTCTTATGTTCATAAATCGGATAAAACATTATTAATATATTCAACTCTTAGGCATAATTTGTGTAATTTCTTTCATAATATTTTTATATCCTTGATATTTCTCATTACTTGCATGATCATACATTAGTTCTACCCTTAAACAATCACCTAAATGAAGGAGTCGTGTTTCAATTACTTTTCCAACAGAAAACTTAGTTCCAGGCAAAAGAATTGCTACATCTTCATCTGAATGATAAAACTGTCCAATTTTTGCTCTTAAATAAGTTTTAATAAATTTCATCTCATACAAGATATTTTTATATCCAGCCACTGGAAACATAGCAGAATTAATAGCAGACGATTCCTTTAAATAATTTGTTGTAAATTTTTGCATAATAAATATTTGTTTAGAAGATATTGTTTTGTTGATGATTTTTATTGGTTTCGATTCAATTCTAAATAATGTTTTTTCAAATTCATCATCTGGATCGTCAAATTGTCTTATTGCTAATTTATATAAAGCCAATTTCATAAAATTTGCCTCCCTCGTATCTCCTGTTATTCTTGTATATCCAGATTGTGCAAAATTTCGAATTGCATAATAATCTTCAAATGTGGTAACATATCGTGCATTTTGAGAATTGTAGTGTTCAATTATACTTTTTAGATTTGTTCCATCTTCAATTTTTTGTTTTTCCCGAAATGTGTAAATTGATTCAATTTTAAGAATACCATCAGTGAGTGACAAATTAGCATTCTCGAGGTGTAAATCGAATCTTAATTTCGAGAGAAGAGCATGGTTTTCTATTATATAGTGTTCTGACCATTCAGGTATTTTTAAGTCTGAAGTATTTGTCCAATCTTCCATAAATCTTAAATCAAGCCTTCCTTCATCCGGAAATGTATATTTTTCCAATGTTTTCAAAATCTCATTTCTTGTGAGATTCATTTGTTTTTTTAATACTAATTCCACAACTTCATCAAGATTCCACCTTTTTTGCATGCGACGGGCATGTCTTGGACACTCAACTAAAGGTATTGGCCGTTGAATATATATACTAATGTCACATTTTTCAAAATTCAAAGAGTGAATAGATATTCCTGAAAACATAAATTTCTTATCACTTGTTATTATTTGGTTTGTAATTTCAAATATACAGTTTTCTTTTTCATACACAATACTGTTATTCATAATAATATTATATGTTTTCTTGACATTTGGTTTATTATCATTTAATAAAAGAACAACTTTTTTGTTTACATTATAATTAGTTCTGAATTGTAAAAATATTCCAGAGGATAAATGAAAATATTTGTAACCATAAGCGTAACTACCTCCAGCATAGTTATGAAACTGTATGAAGAAAAAACAGATTGTATTATCATCCACAAACTTTATTAGTTTTAAGGTTTTAAAATTTAAAAAATATATATTTTGTACAAATCTTTTAAGCGATGTAAAACTATGATTAATTTTAGTTTGTAACACATATGTTATTGCTTCTAAACAAACAAGATAATTTTCAGTTAGAGAAGTCAATTGAAATCCAGGTTCTTCTATATGCAATGCCAATTTATTATATACTTCACTTACAGATGTTTCTTCGTAAGATGGCACTACATTTTCGATATTCCTTTTGTTTATGGCATTAATTATTTCTTGGTTTGAATTTTTCAAAATTATCGTTTTAAAAGAAGTACCTAGTGAAGTAAGTAATGTTTGTGTACTTTGTTGAATCAATAATAAAGATATATCTGTATTAAAGTGGTGAAAAAATACCAAATCATCAATCTCGCAAGGATCAATATCACCAATCTTTTTCTCTGCTGATTTTGTTACGCATGGATAGAACGGTACTAATGGTAAACCAAATTCCTTCCACCAATCACCTAATGTCAAATGGCTGTTACAAAATTTTAGATATGATTCTAATCTTTGTCCTTTATAAGCCATATATTCATTCCAAAATACATCTATAGATTGGTCAACTGTTTTTAAATTTAATCGATGATACCTAAGACTTAGCAATAATTGAACACTAATACCAGTTTTGTTTTGAAAATCTTCAGGATTATCAGCCTCTTTGATTAATGTCGTCGTGTAATTTTCTCGCATTAATGCATAAAAGTCTGCATTATTGTTTTCTGGATAATAAAACACAAATAAATCAAATGGTATTCGCGCATCATTATTAAATACACCTAATTTTACTTTATCATCCGGAACAAGTAATTGTATCATTACTTTATCATATTTGAGAGATCTTAATAAAGTAATTCCAAATGATTGTTTCACTGATTTCAAATCATGAATTTTATAGGCTTCAATAACTTCATTCACTTGGTACATGAATGCTTCAGTTAGATTTGGCAACATATAATCAGAATTACATTGAAAGTCTCCTGGACGATATAAATATTCAGCAATTTTTGATTGCATTAATTTTTTGTCCATGTAGTTACAATGACGCTCTAAAAACATTTCAGCTTTTGCTGAGGGATTATAAAATTTTGAAAACGCTGTATGTATTTGATGAATAGTGTCATTTCTTAATTTTTCATCTATTTTTTCAATAGTTGCATGTAAATGTGAAAAAAGATTTTCATAAGTTGCTTTCCAGAAATGTGGATCAAAAATTGTATTTATTATATTGTCTACTTCATTAGATTTTTTAGACACATGAAGAAAAAGAGCAGGAAAAGCAAAAGCATGCAATCTTGATAATGTTATGTTTTCATTATGAAATGAATTTTCTAATACAAGTCCCGTTGTTAAGTATTCGTCAAATATGTTTTCTTGATCCAAAAAAGTAGTGTTAATATTTTCTAAATTAGTGTAATATATATTATTTATTCTACCAGGTTGAAGAAAATGTAATCCTGCTTGTGCATAAATATAATCAAGAGACAATAAATTAAGGTCAGTTTTTGGTTCAGGAAATAGAGGCAATATTATATCTGTAAGTATTCTATTCACTGCTAAAGAAGTAAGAGTCGATGGTTCGCCATACTCATTTTGAAATATTGCTTTCTCAAGATTTACCTTTATTTCACTGTATATTAAACTTAATTCTAACGTTTTTGCTTTTTGTACAACATCAGCTAGAAAACCATAAATATTTCCATATTTGTCAAAAACAAGGGACTTAATAATGTAATCAAACATTGTGTTCACAAAAATTATGTCAGGATTTTCATTCTCCTCTTCTCCGTATAAATCGCTACCTTTTAACAAATATCTTATTAATTCAAGTATCTTTGTTTGATTATCATGATGGACTTGGAAATATTCATAGAGTGCATTAACAACTGATATTTGTTTGTTTTGATCAACTTCTGATAGACAATTTTCAATGAATAAAAAATCACTTAGTGCGTTGAAGTAACTAAAGATAGATATAAGCTGCACTGTTTCTAATGGATTTGTATTGGCCATGTTATCTACTGTTAAGGTTATCATTTTGATTTTAATAATTGTTTAGTATTCGTATAGATTTTTAAGTGGTAGATTTTTGTATTGATTTGTAAAGTTGGATGTTAGGACAAATCTGAAAAAAATAAACTATTGTTAAATATTTAAAAATTATAAAAAATTATTTAAATTTAACTTTTTTTTTAAATATTCGACACAGTATATAATATTAGATAATTATCTCAGAAATATTTCATTGTAAGATTTGAAAGATTTTAATTCAAGGTGTATAAAATGTTGGTGCAATAAATGTTCGCTTGTGTGGAAATATTTTAACAAAATTTTTGTGAATATTACGTTGAAATTTTCTGAAAATGTAAAATAACAAATGACAGCAATTTTGAATTTAAAAAATGTATTCCTCATTGCATTCATCTAATTATTGGATCAACATTTAATGCACTTAAAATTGAAATATTTCATATCTTTTAATGAAATATTTAGAAAATATTATGTACTGTGTATTAGTATTTTGAAAAACTGTATAAATAGAAAGGTATATTTATATTCACTAGGAATTAGAACATTTAACTGATTTTAAAAATTCAATTTTTGTCACTTTTATAGGCAAACATTTAAAAACTTGAATCACTACACTCCACGTTATTCCACATTATCTAATAAACAAGAACTATACTATTGAATACTTGAATTTATTAAGAAAAAACTTCAAGATTGTATTAAAAGTAATTACTTTTTATAAAAAATAAAATTTTTAACCTGTAATTTTTGTGTAGATATTCAACTGCTTTCCACAAATGTATAAATGTAAAAAACAAGAACAAATATATAAAGTGTTCGAGTTTTACTATTTATCTTGTATTTCATAGGTATTTTTATTATACACATATTGGTATTAACGCAATTGTGAATATTAAGGTCATGTAATTATTACTATACGTGTACCACTTGTTTACATATATATATACTGATAAATATTAATAATTTTCTATGTATTCGTACATTGTTAACATCATGGTCCCTTTCAGAAACGATAATTGGACCCACACTAGTGTAATAAATAATTTGGCTTTGGTAATTTATTAACAATATATCATAATATTTTTTATCACCAACCATGCGTGATAAGGAACATATGTACGTATTATAAATAATGTGAAAAATATTTACTATTCAAGTCAAAATATAAGACAAGTATTTTATTTTCTACCTTGGCTTGAGAGAATTAATAATTTTTAAAATATTGATATTATTTTTTTTAGCAAGTGCAGATACTTTGTCAATCTCAAAAACAACAGGGAGAATATGATAGTGCAAGTGGAAAAGCATATAGGACAAACCATGCAGAAAGATAGCAAGTAAAAGTCTCAAGTTCTTATGGAGAAGACCTTTAAAGAATGCAATGTCGAGTCGAATTAATAGATCGAGAATCCTGGGTAAATTCATTCGCTTCAAGGCGGCGAGCTTAAAAGTACGCGGGATTTCTTTACATCTTGATCTTCTATCGCGGTCCCTGCCGAGTGCAAGAAAACAATAAAACTTCAAATTGATAATGGAGACACATAAAAATCTCTCTAAAATTTAGAATATTACCAAAGAAAATTCTCTGCAAAATATTCTGAAGCTTACACATCACATCGAGTTAAAATCTTGTGAAAATTAAGTTTTAGCGACAAATGTATTGAATATTTATAAAATTATATTTTTGCGTAAAATTTGAATTTGAATCGTTTTCGCGCCATGTCGCGTCAGTCGACAATAGCTGGCGCGCTTAACCACGGGATAGGTTGGTTTTTTCCGGCGATCATACACTGTAAGAAATTTTTATTGAAATTTGCATGCTATGTGTAAAACTTTAATAGAAACGACCTTTGAATATTACTAATTTTAAGGAAAATCATCAATCTTTATAACTTTACCGTATTTATTGAATTTTCAATGAAACAACGGTTTACATAAAATTATAACCGTACAACGATTGAAAATTCAATAAAAGTGTAATCTAAAAAAAATGTAAACTTACTGTGATTGTTGAAAATTCAATACTTTTTTTGTAATTTCACTATACGAAATGTGTAAAAGTCAACTATAACATGAAAATTTCAACGTAATTTGTGTCGTGTCGTGTCGCGACTCGACACATTTGGAAACAATTAATCGTATCGTGGCGGAACCCGACACTTTTAGAAATTTTCAATCGTATCGTGGCGCGACACGACACATTTACAAAATCATAATCGTATCGTGGCGAAGCACGATTATATTATATTATATTATATTATTTTCACGATTTTCTGTTTTCATCCTACACTGTTTATTTTCATGTATTTCGTTTTGTATTATCAACAACTAATTGTATTTGTATATAAACAAACCACATTGAAAATTAAAAAAAATTTTGTTCAACGCAAAATAATTAGATTAATTTAATTTATTAACGTTTTAATTATGATTTAAATAATTTAAAAAAATGTAATCCCTGATTACGAATCCAATATCAGTTTTTAAAATTTTCAAAATTCAAAATGGCGGATCCAATATGACGAACGAGAAAATAAAAAATTAATTAATTGCTTACAGATGCAAACTGATGTTTGCTATCTGATCTATCAAAATTAGTAACCACAGCTAAATTTTTTGCTATGCGTGTAAAGAAATATTCCATGATTTATATATTTTCAAATAGTACCCGATTATGATACACCCTGTATATTTAGTCTATATTTATTTTAATTAAATTTCCCGAAAATCTTTGAAATATAATATGATATATTAAAATATTAATATTATTAAAATATTATTTTATAAACATATTATTATTACATATATGTTATATTATAATAGATAACGTCCAATTAATTTAAATATCTTTTTTATGCGACACGATACGTTTGTGCAGAATTACCGTGTCGTGTCAAGTTATAATACAATACATTTTTCCCTTTCTAAACGTATCGTGCTTTGCCACGATACGATTATGAATTTGTAAATGTGTCGAGCCACACCACGATACGATTAATTGTTTTCAAACGTACCCAATCGTGACACGACACGACACTTTCTTAAAATTCAACAACATTTCGTGTCCGAGACAGTCCCTGATTTGAAGCAAACTAAAAAAATAAATTGAGATTCATAAAATTACTGTTGATTTAGCATAATTTAACAGCGTCATTCAAAATTAAATTATTTTTTTTTTTGAGAAGCATTAAAAAATTTCTTTCAAAGAATATTCAAAATGCATGGCAATTCTTCTCATAATGTCAGTAAAATTAAAAATTGATAAGACTGAATATTTATATTTTTAACTAAATTTATTCATTTGAATATGTAGTTTAGAAATTTTTAATTCTCACAGTTTATACTATAATAGATCAAAATATTATTGAATCTAGATTAATAGTCTTTAATAGAATTTTTACAAATAATTCCATTTTGATTTTTATTATGTTTTTTTTTTAAGTACATTCCTTCCTGCTTCGTTGCATCCTTCCTAAATTATATGATAGATTCATTTGGATGCGGAAAAGAAATGTGAATGTATTCGCATATACCTATAGGGTTACAGGTGAGATAACGGAAATCAATTTTTAAAGGATCGCAACAGCCTCCAACTATATACATATAAGTGTCCACATATTGTGGGTGAGAGAAAATACATACAAGAAATATATTTATATATATATATATATATGTCATAGAGGAAGGGATTATACGAGCGGAAACAAGACTCTGAAAAATGGTGTAATTTAATCGAGCGATTCGGCACGGTGTCGGAGCCACATTCATAGTATATACCTGGCCTAAGCACGACGAGGTGAGAAATGTTACTCGTCTCGTGACCGATGTCTACACAACAAACTGTCACCACTTGACATATCGCTCTGATAAAAACCCATGGCAATGATTTCTACTCGAGACTCTTTTATAAAATGATAACTTTTAAACGTTAATAATACCTCGACATTCACATTCTATCAAACTATATAGTCACACTTATTATTCCATTCAATTTACAGAAATACGAACTAAACAGGAAACTATTATAATCGAAATTGAATGATTCTCATTAAATATCCTGTTATCGTTATCAATATATGATTAATTACATATCTAGCTTGTTTGAATGTTAAAATTGTTTTTATAATTTACTCAAAAATTGTTAAATTTCTAAAGTATAATTTTTGTAAAATATTTGAGAATTTTGAAAAACACAAATTTTTAAAATTATTCTGAACTGTTTTTTTCCAAACAGAAGAATCTTTTTATAATTTTTTGTGGATCATTTAAAAACTGTTAGTGTCCATATAGTTTAAGAGTATTACTCCTCTGCGGATAAGTGATAACAGATTTCAATACTTATAATTAAAAAAAAAAAAGGAATTGCTCATAACACAGAAACTCAATTGAATTATTTATCCCGATGCAAATAGATGAGCAAGCGGAAATGGTAAATTTATATTAGATAACAGGTTTAAACTTAAATTGTATACAAGTTAACAGTGAACCAGTTTTCAGGGTTGTTGGCTAATATATATTCTCAAGCTTGCCTCGGTCCCGTTTGAAACACTAGACGGGCACGGTCGTACTTTAACATTGAGTAATGCGGTGCGGAGTGACCCTAATGAGAGGCATTAATAAGCAATGAAAATGTCCCTCTTCGGTTCGTGTTATTTGAGTGCGTGGGGAGTGTGAAACGTGCGATAGCGTCAAGATAGTGGGTTTATATTAATAGCCAAGCTTCATTGTTCCACGATATGCGAGTAACAGGGCTGATTCGTGAATATGTACCTCTCGGGGTCGAAGAACGTGGACCCAAGGATTTTGTATCCAGAAAACGAGTACCTTCACTTCTAGAGAAATCTATCATGACAATAGTCTCTCATCTCTAAATCCAAAACACTACTCAATCAACATTTCCATCTCTTTATTCTTTCTGTCCGCTTATAACGTTTCCTGAAATTTAATGCCTATTCTGATACACTTTTACTTTAATTCTCATTTGTTTTCTATAAACTAGTTTTTAAAAATTAATATTATAATCTACAATAATAATTTAATGGAATCATATTGTTTTTTAAAATAAAATAAAACAATTTTCATTTGCGGATGTGGGTGAACTTATATCGTGCCAAGCGGGTATTCACTTTAACCGTTGGTTCATGACCTTGTGGCATTATAGATTACAGACGCTTTTTATAAAGCACCCCACGTCAAGGAGGCTGCAATTACTAATTTAGAGGCGAGACCGAGTCGTGCCAAATCCCTCTGCTTCTTCTTCCCTCCCTAGAACGCCCTTTTTTCTCATGTTATTTGTATGAATTGCAAGGAATACCTTGGAGAAAATAAAATGGTTTATACATCCACGATCTCAATATATATACAACATTCACAATGTATTTTTTTTTTAATGTACATGAAATTTTTGTTCCTTGGGGGGGTATTCAAAAGTAGAGGGTGTTTCAAATGAACAACGTTATTCAGAAGTTGATAATAATTATACACGCGGCTGTCCTGGACTCTCGCGCTTTCTTTAACAGTCCCCATGCCCTTCATACTATGCTTCATTTATAAAACCAATCTTCTTTCTACGATAATTACAATTAATGACACACAGCCCCACAAAAAAAAGTGTCGTGCGCGGCAGACTAGACTAGTCATTTCCTATGTATTTTGACGCTCTGAACACGAATCCGAAGTCCGTATTGCTCCATCACGTCAGGATTTTTTTCTAACCTCCAAAAACCTGACGGATTTTAAGAGGTAGGCTATTTTTTTAAAAATTGATGGATTTACTTCAAACTTGG